CAGCAACAGGAGAGAGCCAGGCCCTGGGCTCTGGAAACAGATTCTTATCCAAACCTCAATCTTGGGAAAGAGGCTGGAAATGGGCGAGAATAAGCTTCCTGGCCCAGAGGGAGCATCTAAAAGGCACAGAGGCAGTGACTCAGCCCTTTCACCTCTGACTTCCAGATACAGAGGTGAGAGGCTCTCAGCCAGCTAGGCAAGCCCTGGGGACCGTGTGGAAAGCAACTTCCATGAGAGGCGAAGAATGCCAAAAGTTCGGAGGCAAAGGGCGGGCTTGGATTCCCAAGTTTTTGAAGTTTGAGTTTCCACTGTGTGGTGCAGAGGAAGGGCAACTCGGTCACCACCCTGACAAGGCATCCCCTCCATGGCCTTAATTTTCCTGAATATTCAGCAACAGGGGTCAGCTTCTAGGGTGGCAAACTGGGTGCATTTTGCCGGCCAGATCTGGTGAACTGTAAGAGACTGCCTGGCTCCTGATTAGAGAGGGCTGGGAGGGCAGTAGTGATCCCGCCAGGCGTGTGGGAGGGATGGGTGGCACCTGGGCAGTCCTTGGCCTGGGTAGGTACTCAGTCTTGGCCACTGAAGTGCATCCTGATGTCTGGCTCTGTCCCCCTGGACTCTGGCCCCAGAAGTGCCCTTCATGGTTCCCAAAGTGAGTCGGGAGCTGATCTAAGTTCCAACTCTATGCTAGTTCTTTGGATCTTTCCTTCTTACCTGGTGAATGTCAACGTCTGCTGGGGAGAGTTATGCATTGCGGGTTCAATGTGGGATGACTTTCTTTCTTGCGTGTTTACTTTCTTTTTGTTTTTTTTAACTGGGGTCTCATTCTGTTGCCCAGACTGGAGTGTAGTGGTATGGTCACGGCCTTCCGAGAGCCTCCATCTCTCGGGCTCAAACAATTCTTCCACCTCAACCTCCTGAGTAATTGGGACTGCAGGCAGGTGCCTCCATGCCCAGCTAATTTTTTTAAATTTTTTATTTTTGTGGAGACAAGGTCTCGCTATGTTGGCCAGGCTGGTCCTGAACTCCTGGGCTCTAGCAATCCTTCCACTTTGACCTCCCAAAGTGCTGGGATCCACAAGTGTCAGCCACTGTGCCTGGCCAACACGAGACAACTTTCTAATGAAACTTGATTTTCTTGATGACAACGAAGGGAGAATCATAGAAAGGAAGCGAAGCCCATTGTAGACCACATACCCTCCTGCCCTAGGCGACCTAGGGCTCAGAGTTGTATCATCACTTCCCCAGCCTCCCTCGGTCCCACTACCCAGTGCACACCTTCCCTGCCTTCTCCTCTAACCAGGTCTCCAGGCCTCTTTGCCGTCTTGCTTCCCAAGTCCTGATACACTCACTTCCTTACAGAGTCCAAATGGGAGAATCCAGGCATCGATAAGCCCAAGGCATATCACAGCAGTAGTTGTAGGTCACAAGAGGAGGCAGTCATCACCAAACAGCGGAACATTCTCTGTTTGTGTCAGCTGCAGGGAGAATTGTGCTGCTGACAGTCCAGAGAGTCCAAGACATTCCGGCAAGGGTCGCCCTGCCCTAGATAGGCATATGTGGAGAAGAGACCAGAGTACTTGGGCTGGAATCAGCTCTTCCTCGCTGTGTGACCTAGGGCAAGTGACTTCACCTCTTTGTACATCAGTCTTCTCTTAATAAATTGGGGTTGGTGATAATAATGGTACCCGCCTCGTGGAGCTGTTGAGGGAAGTCAGTGATCTCAGTGCTTAGAGCTATGCCTGGCATATGGTCAGGGACATCTGTGTGGGGGCTGTTGTCACCAGGCTCCTGGGAAAGGCACGCACGAATCTCAGGTATTGCAGTTTGAGACAACAGACACAGGGTCCAGCCCAGGCCAGGCACATCATAGATGTCAGCAAACATGAACTCCCTGCTCTTAACCTTGGTTTTGGAATTGTCTCCAGAGCCGGCTGAGGTGTTAGATAAGAAATTGCACAGGGAACTCGTCCACGTGGCTGCTGTCTCTGGGAGCCAATTATTAGGTCACTGTGACTTTGTCTCCACTAAGGATATAAGAAAGTTCAGCAAACCCTCCCCCCTCCCCCATCTATCTCTCACACTGATTTCTTTTTTTTTTCTTTTTTTTGAGTTGGAGTCTCACTCTGTCGCCCAGACTGGAGTGCAGTGGCCGCTCCCGGCCACCGCAGCCTCGACCTGCTGGGCTCCGGCGATCCTTCCACCTCAGCCTTCCGAGTAGCCGGAATTACAGGCATGCGCTACCACACCCGGTTGATCTTTTGATTTATTGTAGAGATAAGGTCTCACTGCCCAGGCGGGTCTCGAACCCGCGGGCTCAGGCAATCCACTCACCTCAGCCTCCCAAAGGCACGGGATTACAGGCTGAGCCACCGAGCCCGGCCTTTTCTTTTTTTTTTTTGAGTTAAGGTCTCACTCTGTCCCCCAGGGGCTGGAGTGCAGTGGCACACTCGAGGCTCACCGCAACCTCAACCTCTTGGGTTCAGATGATCCTTCTGCCTCAGCCTTCCAAGTAGCTGGGACTACAGGCGCATGACACAACTCCCAGCTAATTTTTTTTAAGAGGCAAGTTCTCACTATGTTGCCCAGGCTGGTCTTGAACTCCTAGGCTCAAGCAATCCTTCTCCCAAAGTGATGGATTACAAGCATGAGCCATTGCGCCTGGCCCTTCACATTGACTTTTTTCAGTTCTACTTTGTAGCCACTGTATCTTAGTCTAAGCCATTTCCTGGTCATGATTCTGGATCTTGGGGACGGGGAGAGTGTCTGTTTAGTCACTGAGTCCTCAGGACCCAGCTTGAGCTGCATGCGTTCATGGTGGAACAGGGTGGGAGATTCAACCAGACGTAAGGCCGGATCCTGTGAATGGGCCATGGGTGTGTCCCTAAGGGGGGTGCCTGCAGTGTCCCACCTCAGGAAGATGTCTTCATGTGGTTCCCTTATTATTATTATTATTATTATTATTATTATTATTATTCTGAGTTGAAATCTCACTCTGTCACCCAGGCTGGAGGGCAGTGGCATATTCCCAGCCACCGCAACCTCGACCTGCTGGGCTCCGGCGATCCTTCCACCTCAGCCTTCCAAGTAGCCGGAACTACAGGCGTGCACTACCACACCCAGCTAATTTTTGATTTATTGTAGAGTCGAGGTCTTGACAAGTTGCCCGGGTGGGTCTCGAACCCATGGGCTCAGGCAATCCTCTCATCTCGGCCTCCCAAAGTGCTGGGATTACAGACTAAGCAACCAAGCCCGACCCATGTGGTGGTTCCCTTATACACAAGCCACTCTCCCCTAGATCATCTTTCCTGGAGACAGTTTCCTTTCCCTTCCCAGGTTTGGTGGGGGAGGAGGCACATCACAGTGATCTCTCAGTTGGGGTAGTGACCATGACTTACTGCCCATGGTCCCTGCTGCCTCAGCAGCCATGGTGGGTGGGGCATGACCCTACCACCAGCCATAGCTGACTGGAACTGGGATTGTTTCCTGACCCAAGGGTCGCTCACTCAGATGAGTTGGCCTGGTCAGATCCTCTCTCTGGAATTTGAAACTGGGAAATGGCGCCGGGGTCTGGTGGTGGAGAAGCTGTAACTAAAAGTTTGGTAGAGTTAGGTGGACAGTTATGGTGGCTATGTTAAAGCTGCAGTCTGAGGAAACTGGTGGCAGAGACAAGAGACCTAGCTATCACACAGCAAGAAGCAGACAGGGTGTGAGGCAGCCAACAGGGACGGGAACTTCTGAAATCAGAGCCACCTTCCATTTTCAGTTCTCAGGAAGTCTGGACTGCCATGTCTTCTCATCTTGAATTTCCACGAGATGCTTATACTGACACGATCCCCCTGTCCTCCTGGGAGGCAGCGTCCCTGATCCTTGTACCCTAGAGGGCCTTGACTTGCCCCCTGCTGGGCCCTTGGAGTTTCACCCTCCTGCCTCAAGCCTTTTCCTCTTCCATGAGCCTCTGCTGGGTCTAATTTCATAGAGGGAGTGGACCCCCTGCACTTCCCTCCCTCACACACTCTCTTGGTGACCTTAGGAGAGGCTATGACCGTGATGTCTGAGAGAGACTGGGGCACCCACCCCATATCCACCCACCCTGAGGTGACCCTCTGTGGCTCCTGCCTTTGGCTATACTTTCTGGAATTGAGCAAAGTTGCTGTCATCTCTCTGTTGAGAAGACACCAAAGCACAGCCTATCCATCTCCCGCTTCCTCAGCCCTCCGCTACCAGCCAGCCCTGACCATTTGGTCACATCCTTCATGTCAGACCCAGATCACTGGGATCTGTTTCTCACTTTTTTTGTTTTTTTGAGTTGGAGTCTCACTCTGTCGCCCAGACTGGAGTGCAGTGGCCGCTCCCGGCCACCGCAGCCTCGACCTGCTGGGCTCCGGCGATCCCTCCGCCCCAGCCTTCCAAGTAGCCGGAACTACAGGCATGCGCTACCACGCCTGGCTGATTTTTTGATTTATTGTAGAGATGAGGTCTCGCTGCCCAGGCGGGTCTCAAACCCACGGGCTCAGGCAATCCACTCACCTCAGCCTCCCTAAGACGCGGGATTACAGGCTGAGCCACCAAGCCCGGCTTGTTTCTCACCTTTGAATAGGGGCCAAAATCTTTCTACTTGACAGCCTTGAATCGGCTGCCCAAATCCACACTTACTCCCATAAGCTGGAAAAGAAATCTGTTTGTTTTATTAATGAGCTGAGAGTAAGCTCTGCAGCAGTAATTCAAGTAGCAGTTGCTGTAGGGGCTGGGGGAGAGGGGTAGAGAGAGACCCAAGCCTGGTCTCACTGGGGCACCAGAGAGGAGTGCCCCAGGCCTGAAAGGGGCTGGGGCTCCCAGGAGGAGTGCCCTGGGGCTGGGAGAGGCCAGACTCATGGGCTAGAGGACACCACAAGAGCCTGGCTCCCTGAGGCCCTCTCCAGAACAGCTGATTGCTCCCTCCCCTCCATGGTGGCTTCAGAAGAGTGGCCCAAGGTATTTGGGGCCAAGGGGAGTTTGGCATTCCTGGGTGCTGGGTTCAGGTCCCCAGGGAGGCCTTCTGATGCCTGCAGACTGGCTTTTCTCAAGGCTGATCCCAGGCTCTGTTTCCAAGAGGTGGGGCTGGAACTCACCGGCTTCTAGCAATGAACTTGCTTTCACTTCTGGACTTCAGAAGAAGGTCCTGCAGGGAAGGGGAAACAGACCAGGCAGATGCAGGCCTTTTGGGTCACACTCAGCCCTGGGCAAGGCCCCAGGACAGGGAGCACCCACCCTGGCAACACAAGGCCCTGACAACCTTCGGGGCCCCTCTTGGCATGGACCCCAGTGGCTACACCCAGCCACAGCCACAGCACACGGAAGGCCCAGGAGAAAGCAGAAGGGGACCCAAGAAGGGGAAGGAGGGGCCTGGGAGCAAGAGAGACGAGGGTCCCTTGCCAAGAGCAAGTGACAAAAAACATAGGGCCACTTAGGCCATCCCAGAAGCCCTGGTACAGAGGTCAACTGACTTGGGAGCATGAGGACCTAATGTTTTGAGAAACTTGTAACCGAAGAGTCAGTAAATCCAGGTGTGGGTCTGTCCCAGATGCTGCCAGCTGTAGGCTTCAGGTCATACCAAACCCCAGCGTCACAGCCACCTGCCAGCTCTTTCCATGGGCACAGCCCTTTCACAGGGCAGGAAACATATCGCTCCATGGTACGTCCCACAGGTAGAGCCCGGAGCCAAGGGAGGGAGCAGGCACAGAGGACAGTTTGGTCTGAGCAGGACTCAGACCATGGCAGGGCACAGCAGGACATGAGCAGCGCTAACCATCATCCCCAGTTCTTTGGACCAGCCTTAAAAACCTCTTAGTAGCCCTGGCTCTGGCCAAGCATGGGGGTTAGCCAGAACAGGGCTCCCAGCAGGATGGCATTCACAGAGCAGGAGACACATTTTGCTGAGGATACCTCTGGGGAGACATTCCAGCTGGGATTCCTGTGGGCTCTCCCAGGCCAGTATGGTGGCTTTGAGGCACTGTCTGTGCCCAGTAGAGAACAGTGCTCAGCACTCCATCCTGTTCATGTGGGTGTTGCATGGGACCCAAGGCAGGTCCCAAGGGCTGTGGTGAGTCGGGAGGCCTGGGTCCCAGGCAAGTGCTACAGAGCGGGCTCTGCACCACTCCCCTGAGGGGAGGGCCTTGAGCCTGTCAGAATTCCAGCGTGGCCCACAGCAGGCCTTGGGCGGCACCTTAGGGATGACACCTTAGGGACGGCACCTCGTGTACCCCTCCAGACGCCAGTCCAAAGAACCTGTGACAGCGTGGGCGGCAGAGGGCCACTGCACGCAGCACGGACAGGCAGGGCCTGGGGGCCCGCCTGCCTATTCACCGTGGGCTCCAGCTGCAGGAGGAACCCGTGTCTGTGCACGGGAGCACAGTCTTCAAGGAGCTTTCGGACCGGCGGGGGGCTTTCGGCTGCGGAGGAGGGAACAGAGGCGCTACACACACAGGGCAGAGCAGAAGACACAAAACAGGGCTGGTTACTGCCAGGTGAGCCCCACCGGGCCTCTCCTTTCCCTTGTCCTGCTGCGGGCCCTGCCTAGTCCAGAATGAGGTGCTCCCAGAACTTGGTTTCTCTGAGACATGCACGAGGTCAGCCTCTGCTGACCAGGGGGACAAGCAAGCAGGTACAGCCATGCCAGGCACGCAGGGGTGTAACCAGTGAGTATGTGAATGTTGGGTGGGCAGGTGAAGGGTAGGGTGGTGATGGAGTGAGGTGAGGACCACGGGTGGGGTGCTACAGAGGCAGAGGGGACAGAGGAAGGCAGATAGGGAGGTAAAAATGGACACTGAATGACAAAGATGGAAACGTGGAGACTCAGAGCCAGGGACAGAGAGAAGCAGGAAGAAAAGGAGAGAGAGAGAGAAAGGGGAGGGACGAAGGGGAAAGAGAGACAGATTGACAGGAAGGAAGGGGAAGAGGGAGAGAGACAGAGAGAAGAGGAGAGAGGATGGAGAGACCCAAGCAAATACAGGGACAGACACACAGAATCACAGAGAGAGACTAACTGGGCCAGAGCTCCCTGGAGATCCCACAGGGTGGGAACAAAAGCTTGTGGTCCTGACTGCCTAGAGATGCAGTACGAGGGAATGCAGTTAGACATCAAGAAGACCTTTATATTGACACTACCTGTTAATGGTCAAGGGATAAAGTTCGGAGTGGGGGATCAAAAATCCTGAGTCCTTGTCCCAACTTCAATGCTTACTCAGTCTGAGACCTTGAACCTCTGTTTCCCATAGTAAAGGAGAATCTGGACAAGACAGCCTGGGGGCAGCTGTGACAATGCTTGAGGACAGTGACTCAGCACTAGGATTCCTCTAGCCCAGGAGTCTTCTAGAAGCTCTGACTACTAGAAGCTGTGTGCTTGGACTATTCCTTCAGGCTAGGAGAAGGCTGGGGAGGTATGCCAGGTGGGCTGGAGGAGGAGGAGGAAGAAAAGACAATGGGCCAGGCGCCTGCGCACACTTACAGCTCATCGTCATACTCCTTAGGGGGGCAGACAGCAACCACCAGGTCGATCCAGTCCTGTGGGGAAACGCTGTGTGACTCGGTGCATTCCAGTGGATGGCGTGTTTGCTCCGATACTCCACTCCCATCTCTGGGCACCATGGCCCAGGATCAGCCAGCTGGGGCCTTCCTCCCATGGGGAGGCAGGCACAGACAGGGCTGAAGATCCCCCACTCGGGGTTGGGCCCCACCATGGAGTCCCATGGTCTGGGGACCCTTGCAGCCTGTGAGGCTTCGGAGCCACAGAGGCCAGGGTTGCAAGGCCCTCGAATGACACTAAGTTCCCAAATGCTGATCTATGGACCAGGCCAGGCAGCAACCACAGAATCACTTGGGGCAATTTCCTAGAAGTGTAGGCTCGTGGACTTAACCCCTGGAAGTCTGGGGTGGGCCCTAGGAAACAGGATCTGTAGCAAGTTCCCCAAGTAGCTCTGATGCGCAGCCAATCAGGGAGCACCTGGCCTGGCTTTTGGATTCTAACACTCGAATCCTCGCAATGGCATCACTGCCATCCTTGGCCTGCCCGTCATCCATCCTTGGAGTGGGCATGAAAAGTACCCAAGACATCACTGGGCCCCTCTCCCGTGCCCTAGTTCCTAATATTGAGCTGGAATCTCTTGTCTATCCCCAGGACCTCCCTCCAGTCAATCCAGCTCTACTTGCAAGAGTCACAGAGAACACTCCCTCAATCCTAATGCAGCCCTTCAGATAATCAAAGACGGTCGTCGTGTTACCCGCAAGTCTTCTCTTCTCCACATCCCTGCATGTGGGTCCCAGGCCCATCTGGTCAGCTTCCTCGGCACTGAACTTAATACCTCAGGCTCGGGTGCCTACACACAGTTGCATAGGTTGTGCATTGCACAACATGAGTGGGCACCATTCACACTACAGTCTGTAGGAGGGCACCCTCTCGGATTGTGCAATGCACAGCCTGGGAGACCTTACGTGGCGGCCCTGACCCGAGGGGGTATCTAATGAGTGCAAAGCAGATGACCACCAGCCCCTCCTTCACCTGGGTTCTCTACTTCTGTTCATGCCCCCAGCCCTCTCTAGATTCCTGTCCAGTGTGTACTTAAAAAAAAAACTCTTAGGTCTTTTTCTTGGGTGGGCTGCCATGCCCAGTCTTCTGGAGTCTGTGTTTGTGCCTCTCAGTCAGGAACTGACATGTATTTTTCTGAACCCCATCTTGCTGGATTTAGACTACTGGCTGGATGGGGTATGTGGGTGCCACCCAAGATTTGGACCCTGGATACCCGTCCTGGGATGGGGCCTCATGAGTGTGAGCCTGGTTGTAGAGGCCAGGGTCCCAGACAGGCGACGGAGGGAGGGTGGGAGGGGTTTGTCCTTACCCCGCCCTGATTCCAGGCCTTCTGCAGGGTGGCCTCAGCCTCGGCCAGGGTATAGTCCGTCACGATCTTGCCATTGATGGCCATGATCTCGTCTCCTTTCACAACACCACCTGCAGGAAGATGCGACTGATTGTCCAACTGGGCTGTATGTGACACAGGCCCAGCCCAGAGCTTGGGGTCAGGGAGTCACCATGGGACTGCAGAAGAGTCCCGACCCTGGGTCCTGAAAGTTTTTGTGGACGCAGAAAGCACGAGGGGAAGCAAGTCACCCGATTACTCCAAGGGCATTTCTTCCCCGCCCATCTGCACACCCTCGCCCCAGTTCAGCAGAACAGGGACATCATGGCCGGTAGGCCTCTGTGATTCCAGAGGTTCTCAGAGACCTGAGTTAGTCCTGTGAGCTGTCCCTCCCTGTTGCCCTGCTGGTCAGCTTCAGGCCCCTGAGCGTGCCAGGCTCTCCCCAGCCTCAGAGCCTCCACATGCTGTTCCATGCTGGAACGCCTTCCTCGCTCTTTTCTATTCCTCTAGGTCTGAGATGAAATGTCTCCTCCTTGGAGGGGGCTTCTCTGACCCCCCACCCAAACGAAAGTAGGTCTTTCCTATTATTTGCTCGCAGCACCCTGGTCTTTTCCTACGCGGCATTTTCATGATTGGTAACCCTAAGTCCCATTTATTTACTTGTTTGCAGACGGTCTCCCCACCACGCTGTCAGTGTGTTTCTGGTTCACCACTATAATCCCCAGCACTTAACAAAGCACCTAGCATGAAACAGGAGCCCAAAAGATATTTGTTGCATAAATGAATGCTGTTAAAAGGTGTTCCTGGGTGAGCCGTCCTGTGATCCAACACTTTTGGGGAAAGCTGAGTTGTAAGCTAAGCAGTTACTCACTATAGAACCTACTACAGTCTTGAATATGCAAATACGCATCACGGCTCTCCAAGAAGCGGACAGATGGTGCATGATTTCCCACACCTCTTCAACATCAGAACCCTTTTTTGAGGAATTTCTTGCAGTCCTGATGTCCACAGAAAAATCTCCAGGTTACATTGAAATAAATAGATCACCTAGAAGCCTTGTGGGCGTGAAGACCCTTAGGACTATGGTGTGTGTGACTGACAATGGTGTCCAGGATGGCTTAAAACACACATGCTTCTGGGAAAATTCCAGCAGCCACTAGTCAGTCCAAAGCAGCGTGGAACCAAACTGGAGACAGCAGTTTCCTCTACACAGTGGGACTGGGGGTGGGTGACCTTCACTTTTTCATTTCGTACAAATCCAAGATGGCGCCTCAGGGGGAATAAGGTGGTGGTTGGGCTGGAGCTTTGTAAGTGGGAAAGACCCAGAAGAGTCACCCAACCATCCTGGTTCCCTGTCCCTGCTGAACAATGGCAGGTAGTTGCCTCCCTGGGCCAAGCAACCACCCTTCCCCTAGCTGGTACAGAAGTGAGGACAGAGGGGACAGGAGGGGACTGGGCAGGCAGCAGTGGGTCATGGTAGCTTCCTCACTGAGCAGGCCTCCTCCTCGAGCTGAAGCGAGGGCTCAGAGTATGGCTGGAAGTTCCTGGGGTGCCCAAGGCCACAAGTGCAGAGCTGGCCTCGCACTCAAGGTTCCCAGTACCCACACTGCCTTAGTAACCCACAGAAGCCAGGCTACCGGCCACCAGTGACTTCCCTTCCCTCTGTCTCCTGCCAGGCTCTTGCCTTCCACCACTTCCATCCCACCACATCAGGCTGACTGCAGCCCCAGGGATCTGATCAGAGGATTCCCTGCTCTGGTCTGGGCTCCTCCTCCGAGGGCCACCTACCCCCCACAAAGGACTCAGCCTCCTTGACAGGGAGGAAGGACTCACAAATGGTGCCTGATAGGTGAAGGGGTTGAGAGTTTGAAGCAAGAGACAGTGACTGGGGTCCACAAGGGCTTCACTCATAAGCAGAAGGTGTTTTTGTTGAAAAGGGGAAAAAAGCAAAGCAGGAAGATCATGCTGTGAGACAGACACAGGGAATGGTGGGCCCTCTACCCCCTGGGAAGGGCAGGGACAGTGCTCGTGCTGGGCAGTACAATAAGATGACCAAACTGCCTGGATTTAAGGTCTAACTCCACCTTTTACCGGCTGTGGGTCCTTGAACAAGTTCTGAGACCTCTGTGCCTCGGTTTCCTGAGCTGCAAACTGAGAACATAATGGCACCTCCTTCTGGGGTTGTTGTGAGGATTAAGTGAGTTGATACACATGAAACATTTGGACACAGGGTTATGCACCAGGTCCTTAGAACAGCACTGGGTACACAGTTCATTTTTGACAGACGTTTGCCTCCTGTCATCACTGGAAGGGCAGGTGAGGTTTTGAGGGATTTCCTCCTGCCTTTCCACGTGCTGTTCCTCTTTCTCACCTTCATGAGGCTAACATCGCCTTTCTAAGGAGCCTTCCTGGCATCTCCCTTCCCCTGGTGGGTTGGGGTCCCTTGGGATTCCCACAGGCTCCCTCCACCCCCTGAACTCCCTGAAAGCCCTTAGCAGACCCTGCTGTGAGTGTCAGTATCTAGAAATCCTGAGCCTGTCTTCACCACTGGCTGGGGAACCCCTGGAGGGCAGGGTGGTATCTGGTCTGGTTGTGCATCTGCAGATCCCAGCACTGTCCCATGTCCCCAGGCACTGTGTGGGACTGCAAAGATGGGTGGGAGGGCATTCTTGAGCAACCGTCAGCCCCTCCAGGCAAGCAACTTTTTGCTTGCTTTCCTGGAGGGCCCTGTCTAACCATCACACCAGCCCCAGATCGGGCATGGCTGGACCCCACTCACCGTGTCGCTCGGCGGCTCCCCCCTCGTAAACAGCTGAGACGACCACCTTCCCGATGGGGGAGTCCACACCACCTTCCAGGGCCAGGTCTAAGGAACCCTCCTGGTTAGAGGAAAACAGGCCTCAGGAAGCCAAGCAGACGGCAGCCTGTGAGGCACCTGAGCACCAAGGAGCCTCCTGATAGGGTCACAGAGACAACAGGAGAAGCCATGGGGCCAATGGCAGTGCCATCAGGGAGAAGTGGGACCTGAGTAGTGTCACATCAGACATTACCAGTTGGTTTCGTCTGCCCCCTGGTGCCAGGGGGAGGGGGAGGATCGTGGGGACCTGAGAGGCCACTGAGGAGTCACCTTGAGGGAGAGAGAAGCAGAGAACCAAGGTGGGAGGGGCAGAGAGGGCAGGCCACCATCCGAATGCCCAGGTACCTTCTTAATACGCAGGAGCCGGACGTCCTTCCCTATGATCTGCTCTGGGGTGAACTAGAGGGACAAAGACAGTGGGGAGCCTTGAGTCAGACTGAAGGATGGCAGTGGGGTCTAGGGCGGAAGTGGAAGCCAGGCATCTGTGGAACCCTGCGCCCCAGAGTCCACAGGCGAGGGGACTGTTCCAGCCCCACCCCCATTGGTCTTCAACTGGGAATCCCAGGCCCCCTGGGGGACAATGGACACACACACACACACCCTATTCCTGGAATTTCTCCCCCAGGAGGGGAGAGTTAGCTCTTACCATGGAGTAGGGGTCAAAGCCTTCCTCATATTTCCGGAAATCCTGGAAGCAAGAGAAGGGTTTTAGGGTAACAGAGTAGCGGTCCTGGAGGATCAGGGCAGAGAAGGAAGAGGGTGAACATAACAGCACCTCCTTTTGGGGTTGTTGTCAGGATTAAGTGAGTTGATACACATGAAACATTTGGACACAGGGTCAGGGCAGAGGAAGAGGGCAAGATCCAAGGGTCAGAGGTGGAGGAAGGACAGGGCAGGTGTGGCTTGGGCAGGGGATGCGGGGAGGAGGCCAAGCAGCCGGAAAGGCCAGCATAGAGCCAAGCAGCAAGCAGCAGGAAGGGTGGGAAGACCCCAGCCCTGCCCTGTTCCAGCAGGTGGGTGTCTGGGGCCACATGAGCACGGCTAATGTCTGGACAGTCTGGGCAGGCAGTGTCCTCCTTGCTGAAAGTCACACCCCCAGCCCTGGCTCTTGCAAGTTTCCATTGAAGGTCATGCCCAGGCCCTGGGGGATGAAGTCCAATGCTCCTCCAACCAGTGCCATCCCCAAAGGAGGGACCAATCCTGCTCTTTCCGGGGCCATCAGCCATGAGGTGATGAAGGCACCAAGGGTAAACACAGCTCAGGGGACCTGCCTTGGTGGGGGGTGCACAGCCCCAAGATTAAGAATCAAGACAGCAAGGAGAAAGGGTCAGGGTTTGAACACACGACCTCCCCCAGGAGTCGCACAAAGCGAGTGGGAGCCAGGGGCACCCCCAGGCCTGGGGTCTGAGATGCCCGGCTCGAGAGCAGCATAGCCATGGCTAGTCCCCGTAGGAAGGTGGGAGCCAAGGACAGCCTGTAGAAGGGTGCCCACACAGGCCTCACCAGACTGAGTGGAGATACCCTCTGCACAGGCCCCTAGGTCACCCCAAGTGTCCCCTGGGCCCTGTGAGCAGCGTGGTGGGGAGGCCTCAGAACCCCTTTTGCCCAGCACTCAGCAACCAAGTTCTGGGCACAAGAGGACGGCCAAACATCAGGAGACATATCTGGCACCTGCTGCCATTCCCCTCACTAGCCTTTCCCCTCCCAGGCTCAAGCCCAGAGAGGCCAGGAGCCCACCTTAGCTCAGAGGGCACACAGGCCAGCCTATGGGTGCTGGGCAGCAGCCAGAGGAAGGGGTGTGGCGGACACACGGGCAAGAGAGCTCATCAGGCAGGATATGGATTGACGTGCTTTCTTGTCCAGACAGGGATCTGCCTACGCTGACCGATTCTTCTAGAAAGCTGGGCAATACTGGCTATGGGCTCCTCTCTCCGTGACCCTGAGAAGCAGCTGCCAGGGATGGGCCAGATGGCAGGAACGTGTGCCTTGCATGAATTTAGATCAGACTCATAAACCCGTAAGGCGGTTGGCCCTTAAAGAGGGAGCCTGACCCTTCATTCAATAGATGAAAAACAGGCCCAGAGTGGTGACATTCAAGCCCAAGTTCACCCTGTTGGTGGGCCTGGTGCCTAGATTCCTCACGTCCCTGTTTCTCTCCCTTTGAGGGCTGTTTGTGCCCTAAACCAGGTCCTTAAATGCCTGTTTCATAATGTCAGTGCTTTAGTGGCAGTGCGGCATTGCATTTAAGAGCACAGACAACCCAGGGTCAAGTTCAGGGGCTGACACCAGCTGTGCCATCACGGGCTCATTTCCAAAGCTTCCTGCTGCAGTCTCTCCTCTATAACATGAGGAGGATCATAGCATTTACCTCCTAGGGTTGTTGGAAAGATTAAACTGACAAATCTCGGGGCTGGGCGCAGCCTCTTTTGCAGGCACCCAAGTTCCCCTGTACGGTTAACACCTCCCTTTGCTCCACACCCTTAGTCAGGCCAGTCTGCGGTCTGATGACGAGTCATCAGTGAACAGGTTGGAGAAGCCAGGGCTGACTGCAAGAGCTCTCTCCCTCCTGGGGTCTCTCTTAATGGTGATGAACAGCCAAGCCAATGCTGGCTCTGTGGAGATAAGCCCCAGGAGGCGGGGTGGAGGAGGAGATAGGTGGCTGCCTGCCAGAGGCCACTCAGAGACCCCCAAGGACGACCATGTCCCTGGGCACAGGGGTGCCTGAGGCAGAAGGACCTGAGTCACCACTTCCTTCCTGATGCTGGTTCAGTGTCAGGTTAGGTGCAGCTGAAACCTGCCTGGAGGGGCTGAGACAGGAGAAGGTGCAGGGAGACACCTGAGACAGCCCCTCCCTCTCTCCTATCTTGGCCTCTGACACTCTGAGGGTTTCCTCTGCCCTGCCCCTCTTTAGACAAACAGCAGCTCCCAGCTTGAGCACGGAGTCTAAAAGGCCCAGGTTCCCATCTGATATGACATCCTTCCCAGTCCCTGCTGTGGGCCATGGAGGACACAGCTCTAGCCTGGGGTTTGGTGGCAGATGGCGTGGACCTGACCAGGCACTCCCAGAGAGAAAGAAGGCAGGCACAGAGTGGGAGGGACGGGGGAGGGTGAGGAGAGCCCCAGGCACACGACAACGGGCATCATTTTACTTGTCTGAATGCGGTCTGATAAACCACCATCCTCTTCAACATCTCCTGCGGCTGCCAGAAAAAAAATAGTGCCACACCGGACATTACCAGTTGGTCTCGTCTGCCCCCTGGTGCCAAGCCCTGGGCCTGCCAGCCTGAGGCTGCCCTGCCAAGGTCCCTCCCCTACAGACACCGTCTGCCTTATGTCAGGGGCTTGCTTGAAGCCCACAGATGCAGCAGCTATCCCACCATGGTCAGGCAGACACTATCCCTTGTCATTAGCCAGAGAACGTGACATGGGTGCCTGGCAGGCTGTCCTAGAAGCATAAATTTTGCTTTATGGGGAGTTGATGGAACAGCTACAGTTCAAAACAAATATCTGAGTTGTTCTGTTCTGACATTTGGATACAGATTTCTTGAAAGGGAAGTAAAAATTCAGACATGGTTTGCTTCCCACTGTGGATGGGAGGCCAGTTAAGGGCCAGCTCCTCTGGAGTGGGGGTATGCACATGAGTCCCAGCTCCCACAGCTGTCGGTGACTGGGGGTGGGCAGACTCTTCCCATTTCCCTGGGCCACACTTCAGATTTCCAGTCCTGGTGGGGAGCGAGACAAGGACTGGAGAAAGGGAGGGGCTCTGCTCTGGCCATCTCTTATCAGAGGGGTTCCCCGCCATGCCACAACAGGCCCTGAGGCAGAGGCACGACCACTGGAATTTCCACAGGTTTTGGCAAGATGGCAACATGGGTAAGTGCATGGGCTTTGGAGTCCAAAAGACGTGAATGTAGGTATAAGCCCAGGCCTTGCCTTGGGCAACAGGATTAACCTTTCTAAGCCTGGCTTTCCTCAAGTGTTAAGCAGGGATGACAGGAGACCACGACAATTTAATCCTCACTTGATTGTTGTGAGCATTAAATGAGACCATGCAGAGCCTGGGGCGTGGTAGGCTCTTAGTAAGTCTTAGCTGTTATTATAATCACTTTTAGACAGAGCTCCAGGCTGTTCGGTCAAGCAGGAAACAGGAATCCCATTGGTCATGTCAACACTCACACCCATCTCCTCTAGAGATGCCACAGAAGGAACCCAAGGGGCTTACCAGGACCTCAGACTTCACAGCTGGCCTGTAGATAAAGTTAGGCTCCTGGTGGACCATGACCGGTTTGGAGATGGTGGACACGCCAGGGCCTCGTGGAGGCTGTGGGCTTGGGCAAAATGTCTATGGGGGTTAGTGTAAGAGAGGCCCATGTGAGAACAGGGTGGGATGGCCGGGGCCAGCCAAGGTAGTTGCACACACATGCAAATCCACACCGTGCACATGCTCCCCCAGCCTGTCCCCTCTCCCTGCTGGAGGCCCTGGGGTGTGATTTTCAGCAGAGAGGCGAGAAGCTCATTGGCCACAGTGTGGCCTGAGGCTATAGAAAACACTGGGTGGCTCTAAGAAATCAGACACTTGAGCCAGAGCCTGGTGTATGGGTGTATGGGTGCAGCCACCAGTGTCACTCAGAGAATGCACTTTCAAAGCTCTATCTCAGTGGCCACAGGTGGCATTCAGTGTCCCCTTCCTCTCAGAGCCATCTCTTCTGCCATGGTTACAGTCCCTGGAGAGCAGCATGAAGCGTCTGCTGGTCCTGGAAGGTGGGCACAGAGGCTCTAGGGACCATGGGGTGAGGACCGGTGAGAGTGGCGTCCACGGCCCTGATGTGGCCTGTCTGCTTTGCTCTAACCCACGTGATCGTCTTGGGCAAGACACATCTTATCGGTCCTCAACCCTGCCCAAAACCTTCCCTCAGTCCCCACTGACTCCTGAGTTCATTGGTTTGATTCCCAGACCCTTCATGAGGGTCCCAGCCTTCTTTTTCAGCCTCACCCTCACCCTCCCTGCCCTCCTCACATCACCTAACGTTAGCCTCCAAAATGCCAGGCCTTCTTGCCTTGAAGCCTTTGCAATACTCTCTCCTTCTTCTGCTTCCCCTGCCCAGCCTTGGATTGGGCATCACTGACTCCTGGAAGTCCTCCTTGAGTTTTCCTCTCCATCCTAACACTTCTCTGCAGCACCCGGGCTTCCCCCGTCTCCACCCTGGTAGTGTGGCAGGTACCTGCTCACTGGTCTTTCTTACCCACCTGTCTCGGGCAGGGCCTGTGGCTGTCTACCTAGTGGGGGCTCCCAGTGCCCCACACAGTGCCTGGCATACAGTGAGTGCTCAATAAACATGTGTTGAGTGAATGCCTCAATAGCATGGTAGGAGTGCGGGACAATGCCTGGGGGTAGATCTGGCCCTGAAAATCCCCCTCTGGCAGGTGCTGTTATGGCTGGCATAGGTGCCTGTGTTTCCACCACCTGAAGCCCGCTGGCGGCTGGGCTGACTGCATGAGTGTGTGGCCACTCACGCTTCCTGCTGCAGCACTGACGACAGCTTGCCAGGGGCACACAGGGAGGAGGAGGCTGGACAGGGGAGACAGTATGATGGTGAGAGTGTTGACACGGACCGGACCAGGTGAAGCCAACCAAACAGCAGCCCCTGGTCTTTGAGTCAGTGGCAACCATGATTTCGATATCCCTTA